ATATAATAACTTTTAGTCATGAAAACTATTTTTTTATTTATTTAGATAGAATTAGTTCTGTTAATTTTAAATACACATTAAATACTTATATATATATATATATATATATATATTCAGCTTTCTCCTTTGAATATTTTTCTCACACATTATAATCGATCATTTTATCATGTCTCGTGTTGTTTGGATATATAGCCTTTCAAACACAGGGATAACGTAAGTCCAACACTAGCAAAAGTAGTACTATCCTATAGAAGATCATTCAATCGTTTGTAGATGCTAAAATGGAAACTTGTGCACTCTTTCAACAATAGTTGTTTGCGCAATCGATTATAATTAAATATTTCAAAATGTCCCCTCATACTTTAAAATATGATTACCCGTATGGCCCCGGAGAGCATGTTGTATGCATGCATATGACGTCTGAGAATTCTGCGCGGTTCAAACAATAAACTTAAATTTAAGCCCTATCCTCATATGTGAGTAGATAGGAGTCAACACGGCTCGAACTATTAAACAAATATATATACAGTTATGGCATTAATCGGGATATTGATTTTATACATTCATATTAAGCCTTCAAGATCTATAATAAGGATCCACTAATAAAGGCATAAAGCCGGCAATGAACCCGATCCTCTGTCAGCAAGTAGGCAGAATCGACAAGATTCATTGATAAAATAAAAATGCCCATAAATACCCCGATGACGATCTTGTCAACATAAAATTTTAACTTGATGGGAACCCAAATATCTAAAAATATCTTCAAATTCTCATGAAATACACTCAATTATGTCAATATTTAAAATTCAAATATATCTCCAAGATACTTAAAGGAAAAAAATACTCATTCATCCTCCACAACAGTTTGTTGAGGTGGACAAATCTGAAAATCGCTTCAGCTCATAAAGAGCAAATGTCTGATTGAGAATATTACTAGCATTTCTCTTACCAGTAAAGACGTGGCACACGTCCTCTAACTAGTGATTTCCCCGCTAGTGGCACGTCTCTTGCTAGTAAGGACGATGCTCAATTTTACTTTGCTTTATGTTAGTTGGATCATCCAAGATCTATCAATAGGACCCCTATCCTATCTACCAAAAATATTCCTATGCCCTTTAAAATTACTCATAGAACTTTAAAAGAACCCATAATTTTGTCATAACATATCTTCAACTATCATCCCCTATTTAAGCACTCAAAAAGCATCATCTAGACACTTCTTATATAATGTAATGGATATTGCAAGAAAATTATTTTATATCTCCATTTCTCTTTACCACAAATATTCATCCATCTCAAGATTTAAACTATCCACCAATTATCTAGTCATTTGATGGTTAACACATACCATATGAACCACTACCTTTAATAATGCGAAATTTATTCGCTTATGGCCCAACTATTTTTATCCACACTCAGCATTGCATTAAACTTGGATGTTACCAATGAACACCTCATTTTTAGTGTTCTCAATAGATCCTTTCTACAAAGTCTTGAAATGAATTCAAGCATGATGAATTTGTGGCTTGAGAAAGTGAGATTTTGGAGATTGAGATTGCCACAACTTGACTGGATATAACCTGATATCACACGGGTCATATCGTGTCTGATTGCGGTAAGACTGACCCAAGATTTGATTAGAAAAGGACTGAAATAAAACTTCTAATTTATATACTACACAAAACAACTATTGAATGCAATATAAAACAAAAGATTATTAAATCTCAAAATAATTTTTTATATATCATTTAAAATATGTACAATATAAAGTATATCTATAATAGTGTTTGACAACTGAGAGAATAAAATAATCAAAACTAAGCCTGCAAAAATTAAAACTAACTAAAATATATCTAAAACATAGATTGGAGCCTGCCATCCAAACTACTCAGCTCACTTCTTACCCTTCCCCTTGCATGAAAGTGGAAGCAAAAGCATGAATACGCAATCACGGTTCAGTAGGCTATCGTTGGCTAAAATATAAATCAATAAATGAAAAAAACAGAAAACTAAAATATTGTGTTGTAAAAATAAACTGATGTATTGTAAAAAAATTGAAAATGAAAATGAAGTAGTAGCCGAAATCGAACTTTATATAGGCTTCATTTTATCAGAATAACTCTCAACCCAAATTTTTATATATATCTTTATAGTTTCATTAACATAATCTCTCGACGATGGCCCACAAGTCCCAGCAAAACAAAATCCCACCTCGATAGCTCGCATACCCCAGCATAACAAAATCCTACATCGATAGTACATTGGCGCCGACATAACATATCACACCTCGGTCGACCAGTGACACTGACATAACATAATCCCACCTCGATTGTCCATTAGTGTCAGTATAACATCAAATCACATCAGGTCATACCATATCACAGTTCTTCCAAAAATTTTAATTATTTCATTAATTAAAGCATAATTGGACAAAATTCAAAAAGTGCTAAAATGTCTAAACGGTAGGCAACATAAACACTATTGAGAAAAAATTCGCAATTTCAAAACATAATCAAATTAACAAAAAATTATATGAAATATTATTCTGAAGCTTTAATTGAACTAAAGTGCTATTTTTAGATGTCAAAATAAATGTATGAATAGGCAAAAATCGTTGCTTTTTAAAATCACCCTGCAAAATAGTTTTAAAATATATTCAAAATGTTCATAATCTCAATTTCTATAATATATAAAAAGTTATGTCGTGAAAGTTTCACCAAAATAAAATTATTCTTGTTTTTTTGTAACGAAAATGCAAATTTTATCGAAGAGAACAAAAAATATCAAATTATTGAAAATTGAAATAGGTAAAATGTAACCTATCTCGAGACGAGCAAATTTTCCAGTTGAATCGATGGATAAAAATTATTTTACGACCTTCAAAATCCAGCTTTTTTTTCCTGCCATCTATTTTTTCTCTCAATTTTTTCCCAAAACCCGATTTTCATTTCTCTCTTAAGGAAATATCAAATGTCACTTAAAATTTTCTTAAGTGGAAAAATGATTTTATAATAAAATAATCACATAGAAAAATCGTAATTAAACTAATTATCATATGTTTAGCAAAAAAATTTATGAATATGTTTATATCTTCAAATTCGGAGATTCAAAAATTATGAAAAATTATTTTAAAGTTAGCTAAGCATGTCTAAAATGATCATGTGAAATCATTCTACAAAGCAGACATATAACAATCCTAAAAAGCCCACTTGTAGCAACATATGTCAATTTTTTAAGAAATTGTACTGGGCCCAAAAATTATGAAAAAATTAGTGGAACTAAAACAAAATAATATATATGTTATGACGAAGACGGTTTGTGATTTGAATTTATAATAACTCCCGAAAAAAAAATTTGGTTGCTATAGCTAAAAAAATATCTTTAATAAAATTTTGAGTTATAATAAAGATATCATAGCCATTTCATTCTAGACAAGTGAATTCTTCCTCCTCTTCTCTATCCTATAGACCATAATATTGATATATTGCATCCTTGAAATATTATCTTGAGTTGCATGATTCTCCTTTAGCTCATATACCAATTGAAAACTTATGCACTCCCTTGTTTAATGAACTATATAACAAACTATTAATAAGTGACTAATGGCTCATTTAATTGCCTTTAAACAAAAAATTTCTATATTTTAAAATAAAAATGAAAAAAAAAAGAATTATTTTACTTTTCAAATTTATGAGACAAATAATATTAATATTTAATTATATCCAACTAGTTAAATTTTTTAAATATTAATTATATCCAATTAGATGATAAATTTAATAAGCGTATTTATTTTCCCATCAAGCAACCAAATGTTAGATTAAGGTTTCGTTTGGGACATTTATATTGCTTTTTAAAACATCTTTTAATTACAAACATTAAAAAAAAAAATTGTACTAAAAACTGCTTTAAAAAATAGAAAGAAAGTCGTCCCAAATGAAGCCTAGGACGGCTTTTATGTTGCTTCTTAAATCAGCTTTTTAATAGATAAATTACATTTTTTATACTAGAAAGCTGCTTTAAGAATCAACAAAAAAATCGCCCCAAACTAAACCTATGATTTCATTTGGAACGGCTTTCTTACCGCTTCTTAAAACAGCTATCTAATACAAAAATTTACATAAAGAAAATTGTCCTAAATAAAACCTAAGTGAGATCTAGAAGCTCGCATTATTAGTTAATCTGAGGAATCTTTGGCGAGCTAAGGGCATCTCCAACCGAAAATCTCATTTTTCAGTCCAAAATGCAAGGAAACCAAAAAGTGTCGTGATTCATCTCCAATCGAACGCCATTTTGTGCCCCTAACCGTCGTTCTCTTTTTTCGCGTATTTCTTCCACAAGTTTGGTAGAGACCAAAAAATGACGCATATGAACAGTGCGACTGTTCATCCGCGATCAAATGGCGGAGGAAAAAGAGTTCGGTTGAGGGCCTCCATTCAGTTGTTTGCCGAACGGTTGGAGATGGTCTAAGCCTCCATCGCAGATATTCTCATGCACACATTTTCATGAATGCTTCCTCGGCTTTAACCGTTTTAATATCCCAAAATAGCGCCATGTAAATTGTTTTGCTATCTAATTTAGGAGGTTAAGCTACCTTATGGTTGGCCAATATTAATTTAAGAAGGTATTTGACTCTGTCATTCCGGGATACAGTCAAACACATGTGACATAAATAGTTAATGTATTTTTTTTTTCGATTTTGTTAATCTATTTGTATATGTAATTAGGAATTAATATAATTAAAAAAAGTATGATAATTAATATTTTTATAAATATTAACTGCGAATCATAAATTTTTATACGCTAAAATAACTGACACATACATTGTAACTATATTCAAAATTTAATTAACTTAACGCTTACAGTTTCGGTAAGTTAAATGAAAAAAAAAATCTGAATAATATTAAATATAATAGTTAAGATTTTTTTGGAAATAGTTAAGAAATATAAAATAATATTTATAATACTGAAAAAAAAATGGCCATGAGGCTAACAGGCTTCAAATACCTCCTCGAGAGCGCGTATAGGAATCAAAATGAGGAGCGTTGGGGTTCCAGAATAGTTTGTTAGGGATCTGGCTTAATTTGGTACTAATTTGTTATTAGGGTTTGCGGCGAGGTTGATCAGATTCGAAAGAAGGGCGATGCAAACCGAGGCGCGGGCAGGGATGATGGTGGAAGGGGGAGGGCAGAGGGGTTTCGGCGCTGTTCATGGCTGTACGGCCTCTGCCGCCAAAACAGCCGCCGGCGAACTTGCTGTCAACGGCGCCGCCGCACGGAAGTATTCCGCGCAGCGCCACTCGCAGCTCCAGCAGCAGCAGCAGCAGCCCCAAGTTGGAGCTCTGTCACATCTCGTCGCCGGAGGCCTTGCTGGGGTCGTCAGCAAGACCTGCACGGCACCTCTCGGCCGTCTTACCATTCTTTTCCAGGTAATCTCTACAATTTTTTTTTTTTTTTTTGATCATGAAGCTATCGAAGCCCTTCCATATATTGATTAGAATTTGTGTTCTCTTTGGTTCTTTTCAAAAACGTCTTTTGTCTTACATTTTCTAAATTATTTCCTTTGCAATATATGTTGCTTTAATTTCGTTTCTGCTGACTAGCGATTAGGTGATGATTACTACTTTCTAGAATTTTTTTTTTTTAATTTGGAAAATGTGTTGGTAGCCAAGATTAATCATCAATTGCTTGTGTTGTAAGAATTCACTAAATGACCAAGGTTTCCTGGTTTTATGCAACATTCCATCTTCTTCCTCTTCTTCTTAGATGGTTCAGGTATCAACTTCTTTCTTTTCTTAGTCCTGACTATTGGTAATGTGAACATTGGGGAGATCAAATAGGGCTCGATTCTCTAGAAAATACCCTTTGATGATGCAAGGTAGGTATGTACATAAGCATGAAATACTCACGTGGGCCACAACTAACAAGCATAGGGATACTCAGCATCCTATTCTGCTATCAGATGTCAAATAATTCAATGCTCTCACCTGCCTTATTCTCTGCCTTATATCTCAGATATTCACATTGCATGTCATACCTCTTCAAATTCAAAGCATATTGCACCGAGCATGTGCCATTCATACCAAGAGTGCACCTCAAAGCTGACTCCACCATGTGGTGCAAAGTAGGAGTTAAATGGTCTTTTCTCAAACATTTGGGAGGGCATCGAAAGTTCTTGTGAGCCACAACAATATTGATCTTGTATATAGTGGTAGTTGGAATTTGTACCACTTGCTAGGAAATTTGTTTGGGAGCAAGATGAGTATAATATACTAGTATAGCTGAATACCTATTTGACCCAAAAGTTTGTCAAGGAGCATAATCGAACTCTTGTATGTCAACTCAAATTTGGGGCTTGGAAGGGGCGGAGGCTTGGAAGGATTTAGGGAGCTGTTAATGGGCAATTAAAAGCTAGATTGGAGGGAGAAAGGAGGTTAGGGGGGCCGGCCATATGGGGAGGGCGATTTAAGTGTCTAGGTTCATTGCATGTGCGCCCAATGACTTAAATAATAATTTGAATCAAATCTGAAATTATATTTCAGATTTGATTTGATTTGATTTGGGAAGGCTTGCTAATTGGGATTTAATAATATTAGAAAGTATTTGAAATTCAAAGTTTAATTGAATTCAAATAAGGACACTTTCCAAATTATCATTAGGATATTTTAGGAAAGTAATTAGAAGCACTTGAATTTGAAATTCAAATTAATGGGGAAGGTGGCCGGCGGCTAAAAGCGTTTCAGGAGGGGTTGCCGGCGATTGAGGGGTGGGGACCGGTGGCTATAGGGGCGGGTGGGGTTGCTGGCGGCTTGAGAAGATGGGGATAGGGCCGACGGGTTATGGGGGAGAGGGGAAAAGCTAGGGAGGGGCTTGGCCGGTGGAAAGGAGGGAGAATTATGGGTAGGAGGAAGGAAAAAACAAGAGAAAATAGACAAAATCAAGAGCTCAACCAAAGGGTCTATTGGGCACTTCGTTTGAGCCTCTCCTAAGTTTCACCTCTCCTCTCAAGAGCTCACAACTCAAGAACTCAAAATCTAAAATTTTTATTAATCATCATGTATCTCATACAAGCAAAGACCTCTATATATATAGACCTCAACAGCATGGTTTAAAATTGCGCAATATGAAGCTCGCCTTGAGGCCCGCATTTGCGCAATTCCAGTAAAAAACGCATCGATGCTTACGCTTCGAGTTTTTTTATGAGGCTTGCGCCTCAACTTAGTTGAGGCTCGCCTCGCCTCACGCTATACATATTAAAACTTACATAAATTTTGAAGTAAATGCCTGACATTGGACTCTATAGGAGAGGAGGAAGGGGAGAGAGCAGTCCATCATAATGATGATTCAAATGAAGAACCACTTAGTGATGACAGTGCTGATGACTTATAAGTTCTTATGTGATATGTCATTGATATTTATTTGTGGAAATTTGAATTATATGTTAATGAAAAGAATACTGGGATTTGGGAAATATAGAATTTTGAGTCTAACTATATTTCATGTTGTCTTATTATTGGGATATTTTGATTTCACTTCATATCTTATGTTTTTTTATGTTTTATATTATTCACTCATTAGTATATTAAAAATTTATCATTTTATGTTTACGCAATCTTTTGATTTTGAAGCTTACGCCTCAAAACGCCTTGAGGCTTACGCCTCGCCTCACGAATGAAAAACGCCTCAATACCCAAATACGCAATTTTAAACATTGCTCAACAGTAAAGAAAAGAAGAAAGACGCAAATGCCCTCGGGGATACAATAAAAACTCACTACCCATAGGGGTAAAATAGGAAAACTGAAATGCAAAATAAACAAAACATAAAATACAACAAAAGTAAAGGCTCCAAATCGTAGCCGTCGATCTACGATTCCGTCGTTGGTACACATGTCGAAATCTCTGACTGATGTCCTCATCAAAAATTGTCACACTTGAATACATTTTTACTATTGAAAACATGAACAAGGCTGTTAAAGCTAGTTTGTTAACTCTTGACTAGCTCTGCAGAATCTTAAATCTTTAACAATGTAGATTTATCAGGTTTAATCTTTGAATTTCCTGACTCACTTGGTTGCACAAAACATTTCTTACTTCTTTTTGCTTTGTCAACTTCATTGTTAGATTCATGTTAGTGATAGTGTAGATGGAGTTTAACAGTCTTCTCAACATTAGGACATAGTAATACAAAGAAAACACAATGGAGTAATTGTTGATGATCATTACAAATTAGAGGGAATGGTTATACAATCAAGGATGAGAGAAGAGAGAAAGATAATGTTAACAACCCCATTGGATGGATAATGTGCACATAATCCAAAGAAAGGGAGGGGGAGGAGTAAGAGGAGAAGGGAAATTCAACCATGCGCGCTTTACATTCGAGACCCATCAAGTAACCATATAATTCTAAGGCACCCTTTATATCAAGTTCCTCTAACATAAAGAATGTAGCATGATATTTATTCAAAAAAAAAAAAAAGAATGTAGCCTGATGTGGGACTAAATGGAAGAAACATAACATAAAAATGACAAATAGAAACGACTCATGTCTATAACCATAAACATAAGTAAGCTCATTAATGTTTTGCATCATTCACCTAAATCGAAAGAGTCTTGGAAGATTTGGAGGGTGATGGCTATGACAAAGGTTGTGGCATAGTTGGATTACGAATAGAGTTAAAAAGTATAGATTGAAGCCCAATAAGCATTAATTGATCCAGAGGCTTTGAATCAAGGTAGTGATAATCATTAAAAATTTTAGATATGGCTATTGGACCAATAATGGAAAAAGACTTGGCCATAGCAGTGGAAATGCTGACACAGCAAATTTTTGAAGTGAATAAAGAAAACTGAAATCTCCATGAAGCACCAAAGGAAGATAGAACAATAGAATTACTGTAAATTGCAAATGGAGAAGAAACCACTATAGAAAACTCAAGGAATCTTAAACAAAAACATCCTCAAAGTTCAGATTATCATCAAATATTGGTATGTCATTTATAGTGGTCTTCATAAAAACCCTTGATGGATTAAGTAGGAGCACAAGTTTAGCACATGTGGAATTCAAGGTTTTGGTGGATTTGTAGGGCCAGCATCTCTATTGGAGTGCATAGAGGTTTTTGGGACAAAGAAGTAAATGGAGTACCTGAAGTGTTATGCACGATTTGTGTGTTCAAAATTTTGAGCTTACGCATCACAACGTCAAATATAGAATAATTTTCATAGATGATTTATTACGGGTGTCATTTGATGGATGAGAATGATATGATTTGTGATGATATCCAAAAGCATAGGACCTTTGTTCTAGTCAGGTATAAATATAATTGGATTTAGGATACCTACTTTGACGATATTGTCCATCTTCATAATAATCGTACACATCATATTTTGAATAATGGATTTAGGATGTTTATTTGGTGATATTTTGCATTTTCATAATAAGAATAATACATTTTTTATATAGTTTGTTCTAGGGAAAATAACTAATAAATTTTTTATTTTTTTCCCCTCTGTACGAGAATAGAAATCATTGAGAAGCTTTTTGGTGGCATCTCGGATTCAATTTGAACATTGACATGTTGTATGAAGAGCAAGGATGCATATGTGCATGGAAATACAAAGCATTAAGCAAAATATGAAGGGATTTCAATGTTAATTCAACAAAAGAAATCCATTTTTAACCATTAGAAAAGTTTCTAAAGCAATTATTATAGAAATCAATAAATAGTAGCAATCCAAAATATAATTCTTGAAAGGATTTAAACTTTGTGCTTCTAGTTTCAAAAGATTTAACAAGAAAAAAGACATCAATGTTTTCTAACTCCAATCAAATTGGACTAAATGCAATAATAGATATATCAATAATCTATGGAATTTACTCATTTAGTGATGAATTGCAGCTTTGATAATGTTTATAGGGGTGCTTAATGAGTAATGGAAAATGCATCCTTTTATAAACCTTAAACCATCTTTGAAGGAGTTGAAGTTTGCTATAACACCAAATAATGTAGATAGGACTGAGTAAGTTGATTATTGGTGATGATTACACACTTGAGAGAATGGGTACACAACCTAAGAGGAGAGGAGAGGAGAGAAGAATAAAAGGTACACAACCTAAGGGGAAGGAGAGAGAATGAGTACACAAGCTTGAGAGGGGTGGAAGGAGGAAGAGGAGAGGGAGATGTTTTATTCAATAATCTTCAATTGCCCATATAGTTCTGAGGTATCATTTACATAAAAAATGTTTCTCTGATATAAAGACTGCAATATGATGTGGATCTAAATAAAAGAAGTTGACTCATCAATGCTTTGCAACATATTGACCATTGAAGTTTCACAAAATAACTTCATTTTTAGGCTTCATGATTTAAAGTGTCTTGGAGTTGTTTGTAGAATAGTAAGAGCTTTTCTTGCTATATTGCTTTAAAACC